CTGGCTAAATTTGGGCATATACTCTGTATGTTTAGTTAATAGTTGGAATAATTGTTCTAGAATTATTTTTAATGTTAAATTAATTAGTTATGTCGAGAGAAAAATTAATTAATTATTGGAAATTAGTTTTTGTCTTGTCTATGAGGATATAAAATTAATTAAGCCAAACTTTTTTTAGAACACATTAATGTTGCCTTGAGAGAGGATAAGTTAATGAAATATTTGTGACAGAAATATTATTATTTCAATTATTGATTAAATATGTGACAACAGTAGTTAACTCAGATGATGCCTTGGCCCGAAGTCTAGTCCTATATCCGTACTATTTATTTTCTTTTTTCTCAAAAAGAATCTAGTACTTTAGTTTATTTTCAAATCAAATCGAGAAGACTTTCAGACTTGTCCAAACCTTCGTCTAGTTAGAAAAATTAGCTAATTCCCTTCGTCTACTCCTCGAGAGACACGACACTCGGAGAAAACTAACCCTTCATTGGGAAAGTTGACTTACCGAAAAACTCAATCATCACATTACATTTAAAAAATTTGACCAAGAAAAGTTAAATAAAGAAATTATATCCAAACGAGTATGGGTAGTGATTAGAAATTACTGATGTGATGCAATTCATTTTTCTTGATTATGTACAAAAATAATATAAATAATACAAAAATAATAATTAAACGGTTTAAACCATTGCATTATAAAAAAAGATCGATTAAATATTTAAATAAAAATAAACTTAGCTTTAAAAAAATAAATTTTCAAAGTTTGAGAGCTCATATACTATAAATTTAAAGTGCACTCTTATTATATATGTAAAAATAATAAAGAATGATTTATTGATTGAAAGAATAGAAGAGGAATACAAAGTATGTATTTATAGGTGGAGAAATATATTTTAGAATTCTCCACATTAATGACTAATTATATAAGGTAGTATTATATAATAATAAATCTAACTATAATAGGTAACAACCATAATTATAAGATATAATATTAAATATATTAAATAATTGATATATTTAACATGCTCCCAACGTTCTGAACGGTGAAGATTGAACGCCAACTTTACTTGAATCGTGATCAGAATTGTAATCAGAAGCTAGAGGCATATCTTCGGCTAGAGTAGACTGAATACGTCCGGCCTAGAAGAGAAGAAGACAGATTGTCAGGAAAGAGATGTGAAGGCGCTAATGAGGAGAGGAGAAAAGCCGCTGCGAACAGACTCATGCTGCTGACGTCGAAAGAGGGAGAAGGTTGACGCGCGTTGGAGTCATGCGCGAGTGGGTTAGAGAAGAAACACAAGGAATGAGGTACTGCCGGAGATGCATGTTGATCAAAGATCTACCCACTAAGCAGGTTGAGGTGATGGTATGTGTTGTGAGAGAGCGAAAAAATAGGGATTGAAGAGTGATTGGAGGAGAAGGATTTCCGATCAATGAGCCAAATCAGAGGCTCTAGAGGGATAAGGCATCTTGATAGTCCCTAGAACACCGATGACACCAAGGACACCCCTTTCAAAGGCAAAGTGAACATGTGCCTCATGTTCCTCTCGAGTGAACAGGTGCGATCTTGGCGCCAGGAGAGGCCGGTAGTTTGGTGGAGTAGGAATCAATTTAGACCTCTTTTTTTTTAAAGTCGTCGGACAACAAAAAAACTAGAAAATTTTGTAGTTTCAGAAGATGGTGAAGAATTTGGGTCAGGGGAAAACAGTGATTCGGCGGGCGGCGGGTAATGGCGGTGCCGCCCGCCAGAAGCGAAAGTGGATAAATTTAGGTCACTAAGAACGGTGGCTCTGATACCATGTAAAAATAATAAAGAATGCTTTATTGATTGAATGAATAGAAGATGAATACAAAGTATGTATTTATAGATGGAGGAATATATTCTAGAATCCTCCACATTAATGACTAATTATATAAGGTAATATTATATAATAATAACTCTAACTATAATAGGTAACAACCATAATTATAAGATATAATATTAAATATATTAAATAATTGATATATTTAACAATATACTCCGTACTCCGTACTCCGTATTATATTTGTCATGTACATATATTTACAATTTTCAATTAATACATATATTGTTTTTAATAATAACAATTATTCTTATTACTATTAAAATAAGAATAACATAAAAATTGGTGGGACTGCGATCCCGCATTAATATATAAAATTGAGAGGAGTAATTATATTTATGTTGTGAACCTAAATCTGATGGTCTCAAAAGGATGCATACTAATGAGATCGGAAATTATACAACATTGATCTCTTTTCTCATATTTCTCCGGTATAAGAAAAGTTCACATCCCAACAAACCTCGTCTCAAATTAACGACCACTAAACTTATGACCTCTCATTCAGTGGTTATTCATTTGACTTGTCCATCATCTTGTGCCGCTGTTACCACCTCGTGGAACATGCCACCCGACCTTCTCCTTTCGGGTAGATTTTTGACAAAAGACATACCGCAGACCACCAGTCCGCTAGGTCAACCCTTTTCAATCTGTGTGACCTCTTGCTTGTCAGGAAGATTTTCGATACAAGGCACCACTAAAAATTCCACATAATTCAGTCTCTCGCTCTTATGTCTGCACGAGCCTGGACTCCAATACAACATGTTAAAACTGTACGTACCATCAGTACCATATTGCATTAGTATGATATTGTCTACATTGGGCTAAAGTCACACTGATTTATTTTTGAACAACTCCTAAGAGACATCATGTAACGCCCCAAAACATACCCTAGAATTATTAATAAATAATTATTCGATTAAAACAAATTTGTTTTGATTAAAATAAATTGTTGTTGGGATTTGGGCCAATAGAAAATATGTTTTGATATCCAATATCATAAGCAGGGTAAATCTCATAGAGATAAACCCAATTTGTTGACTATTTGTGTGGTCTTGATTGGAAACCTGAGTACAGACCCAAATCAAGAATAAATGAAGAAATTATATATGATGTGAACTTTGAAATGATTTATTGAAATAAATCATTAGAACAAATGATATGAATTAAATGTGAGAAACCTTTTTGAATAAAGATCAATTGAATCAATTTTGACTCTGTCAAAGTCAAACACCCAAAAATATGATGTCTGAAAAAGTATAACGAATAAATATAAAAATTATATTGTTGGATAGAGTTTAACTGTCCGATCGC